TTTTTTGGAACAGGGGTGGTACTATAGAATGGATTAAAACAAAAGTGAAAGACTATAAGGGGGGACAATCTAGCCTAGCCCAACAAACTAGGAGGGCAAGGAAGCATATACCTTTGAAAGAAGATTACATAATAATTTCCTAAACTAAGGATGCAAAGAATTTTCCCGATATACTAATACAAAGACATTTTTTGATAGCAGTTTATAAGAAACTCGAAAATTCCCCGTAAACATATTGTGTGCTCGTTATTTGAAATAAATTACGGAGAAGATCTCTAATGAAGCAAAAGCTCGTGATCGAGAATAACTCTATAAAAAATTGTAAAAATTTCCTAATAATAACTCGCTGGAGCAAAACCCGAAGCGAACATGCATGATACCGATTAACATTTGAGAAGAAAGATCAATCATAAGTACCTCCGAAAGTGAACAACCCACTTTTATCATCCGATATTGCTCGACGACACCGAGTTGGTAAGTCAATTGGTGCAAATATTACTTTACTCGGTTTTGTGCTATAGTGCCCAATCCATTAGCTTATCTATAGCTCTATTGCCTCTTCTATGTGTATGCTGGAGTCTTATGTTTGAACCGATATAATTCCCAACCTCTTTGAAAATATAAGTTAACTACCAAGGGATAACTTGACATTGTGATAAATTCCTCAATATTAGAGTTGAATCGGTCTCTAAAATTTTTTATTGGACGAGAGAATTCCCCGCACAATTTAATGCCTTCCAAAACTCGCTAGAGCTTCTCCTTTGTTATTCGATCTCGAACCAAAAAATTTTGAGAAAGCCATTACCATATTGCTAAATTCATCATGAAGTATGCCTCCCCCACTACACAAATTACCCTTCGAGGTACCATCCGTATTCGACTTAAGAATCCATGAAGGAGGGGGATGCCACTTAATCCATCGTCCTCTTAAAGGGAGAGAAGCTCGTACCGGTACTTCCAAACCGTTGAGACACACTATCATGGAAAGATGCTTGGAGGCTTAGGCACAAACAAGCATGGTTAATTCATTAATCCAATGTAGCACTTTGTATTTTATTTGAGCCATATTCATTCTACCATCTTCAAATAGAGCTTTGTTTCTAGATAACCAAATCTCCTAAATTATGTAGTTGAAGATAACCATACGAGTAAAGCTCTTTTGAGATAAACATTTACCTTTGGGTAGCCAAAATGAAAGTATACTCGCTAAAAGAATCCTATCTTGGTGAAATATCTAGAATCCTACCAAAAAAATAAAAATCCACAACTGCATTGCTATTTCACTATGCAGAAATAAATGTTCCCTTATCTCTATTGCAACATTATTGTAGCACTAGCATTTTGATGCTAGAGAGATCCCACAAGACCGAATATTTCTATCCATTATAATAACATTACGCGAGACTTTTCAAACCAAGAATCCCATCTTTCCGGGAATCCATTTGTTCCATAAGCTCCTCTACCATTCGAATTTTTGGCCAACTACTCTATGTACCTCATAAAACTCCCGGTATTAAAAATGCCGGACATATAATCCATATAGCATAATTTGTCCGCAATGAGCCTCATCTAGGTACAATAGCTCAAATTCATTTCAAACTACTACTGGCGTAGGTTAAGCAATGCAAGATCCTTTTTGGCTTAAAAAACTAAAATTTTCAAGCTCGTAGTGGGTTCTAGAAGAGTGGTCATCATCTTCTTTTCTTGCCATAGTAGAATGTTTCCCGAACTTAAGCACCCATATAAATTTTTCTCGAAGAGAGCGTATATGAATTAATAAGGATCTCCATACCGGTAAGCTTGTGCAATAGTTAACTGCTAAAAAATTAGTAAGATCCCCATATTTGGCCCTAAAAAAAGTACTCCATAGTGACTTGTCGGAGAGATATGCCCAAGCCGGTTTCCTTTTCATAGCTTTCATGACTTCTCCTAAATCTTTAACTCTCGGTCCTCCTTCTTGCATAAGAGAGGAAATTTATCTCCAACTTACCCAAGTGATGCCTATTCTCCCCTCTAATGTTCTAGAAGAAATTTGATATAAAGCTCGTAATCTATATATGGTTGTTTTGGGGATAGGAAGCACACCCATAGTTATATAGGAATTGACATCAAGCACACTTTAGATCGTGGTGATTTTTCCACCAATTGATAATAAACGTCATTTTTATCCTCGCTAACTTGTCTCTAATTTTACGTTCTAGGTGAGCAAAATATTGGATTTTCACTCTACCTTTGAACGGAGGCATTCCTAAATATGTCAACACATCGGTAGCTAATAGGAAGTCGTCCAAACGGATAGAAGCGCTTTTCTACTTGGTGGTAGTTTGTTGCTACAGAGTATACTACTTTTTCTAGCATTAACTTGTTATCCACTAGCATCGAGCATATATCCTAAGAACCTTTAAAACCTTGTATATCATGTTCTTATCCCCGTTATAAAAAAAAAGCATGTCGTCGATAAATAAAAGATGAGAAATCGTAAGAGTACGTCTTTCTATATAACATGACATAATAGAGCCATTTGTAATTTATGCATTCAACTACCTACCGAAAGCATTATGAGCTAAGATGAACAAGGTCGGAGACAAAAGGCCCCCTTACCTAACTCCACGGTGAAACTTAAAAAATCCATAAGATTCCGAGTTAATGGATAATGTAAACCAACAAGCTAACCAAGCATTTTTTGAACCAACTCACACCATTTGCTAGAGAAATCAAACCTCTACATAACTTTCATCAAGAAAACCCATTCCAAACGATCATATGCCTTGGCTATATCTACCTTTAGGATGATATTACCTCCATGAACCTTCCGTCAATATCATTAAATAACTATTGGGTAAGTGCAACATTTTCATGGATGGCTCTCCCTTGACAAACCCCGGCTATTCTTTTGATATTAACCGAGGGAGAACGTTGCTTAGCCTCATGGTGAACAGACCTTGATAAGATTTTATATGAAAAGTTACGGAGGCCGACGTAAGTCACCGAATCTAGTTGGCTATGATTTGGGGATCAATGTCATATTTGTGGATCGTTACACCCCTTAGGATTGCCCTTTCCCTTAAACACATCTTGTATAGCTGTAATTTCATCCCTAAAAATAATGTCCCAATAAGTTTTATAGAAGGAGCCAGTAAAGCCATCCGTCCTAGGTGCATTAAGGTCATTTAGTTCAAACACAACATTCTCGACCTCTTCGATAGTTGGAACAACCATCAAATCCCGATTCCGTAAGTCTATGAACAAATTTAGGATTAATTTTAGGAAGGATTCTTCTAATGTAATGGGCTCACTCGGTAAAAACCTTTTGAAAATAATCTACTACCTCCCTTCCAATTATTTCATCATCACTACATTGCATGCCATCCTCCATTATTAAGTTGAATCGGCTTTTACGAACGTACTCCATATGTATGTATGAAAAAAGGTAGAGTTTCGATCATTTGCTTCTAACCATTTTACTCTAGCTTTTTCCTGTAAAAACAACTTCTCTTGATCAATCAGATTAGCAAAGTGAGCCTTAATAGCCATTACCTTAGCCATATTCTCCTAACTTCATTGCACTTGTAACTCAACTTCTAACCGAACGACTTCATCTTTAGCTTGATTTATCTTCTAGTTAATATCACCAAACATATTCTAGTTCCATGATCTTAGCTCCCTCGCAGTTGTCTTTAATTTCGAGTGCGAGTTGGGAAATGGATTTTGACTCGATGAGATATCCCATTTTCTCTGGACAAAAAGATAGAACTCTACATGCGAAAGCCATATTTTCTTAAAAGAGAATATTGCAAGCTTGGGAACTAACGGTGGAACAGCTTAGTAGGAGAGGACAATGATCCGAATAAATCTGTTCCAAGTGTTTACAACTCGGATGTGGAGTTGATCGAAGGAAGGCTTGATTAACAAATATTCTATCTAGCTTTTTCCAAATTTATACCCCTCCCATTTAGTTATTGCACCAAGTGAATTTACTTCCCACATAACCTTTATCTTGAACTCCTATAAGCTCGTATCCCTTAATTAAAATCAAATATAGATCCCAAATCGAGCTATGTTCCTCCAACCTTCTCAGCAGTATTACTTATGGCATTGAAGTCCCATTCTCTAACCTATGGGTTTATGATATTAAGAGCATATATATCATCTCATAACATCTTTCTTCTAAGCCTCGTGGCAACTAGCATAAACAATAGTAAAAGTAGTGTCCGTATTTGTAACCAAGTCCTTTACAAAAACAATGATGGATTGTGAGCATACATGTTGAATGTCTACCATCAGCCTATTCTTCCATAAGACCCGGATGTGTTTGTTAGTCGAATTCTCATGAGCGAAACCGTGGAAATGCAATGATCTTGCAAATTTAAGAAGTTTATCACCCTTCTATTTTGGTTCTAATAAAATTTATAGAGAAACCCGATGGAGCATAGACAACATTCTCGTGTATCTCCTTTTCTCTAAGGCACAAACACCCCTTATATTCTAGATCGACTAATCATAGGGACTTCGAAAAATGGTTCTCCATTGCGATCCCCCGAGATCTCATCACCATTATGCCACTATACTCGAACCAAATGTTGTAATAGCTTTCTTTTATGTTTCTTAATCCTCGGCTTAGCCATTTTCATCGGATCAATGTCGTCCTATCGTGACAGCTTATAAAGTCTAATTTTGAGTGTCTAGGCATCCTTTAGAGCTTACACGAAGAGAGAGGTCAATGTGCTCACACACGACCCCCATCATCTAAACTACATTGCACTCTTCCCTCTAGCTACACTCGTTAGAGTCACATCCTCTAAACTCGTATTTATCCAGGGCACTAAATGAATTCTCAAAGAGCATGTCTTAGTCAATAGCCATTGTATGAGATAAGGGAACTAGATTGCTTTGATTACCATATACCATATATGCCAATGCCTCGCTCCTTATTATGCCCTTTTTGTATTTGTCCTTCCATTGTTTTGTTTGTAGAAGTGTCTTGTGAAGTAGATCCAAACTTATGTGACTCCGTTTTTGGTTGCATGGTATTGTTGATTCCATGGCTCACACCCGGTTCCTATGATGGTACTCGGATGGGTCCCCGCATGCAATCCCTTAATAACGCATTTGAGTGCTTTACCTCCCATAGTCTTGTCATTTTGCATGGTGTTATTCTCCCTACGAGCCTTAGCCCCCGTATCCGTAACTAAATTAAACTAAGACTTTGTGTTATTGTTGGTCTTAATATTGACACGGCTAGAGGTAGTGTCTTCTACTAATATAAGGTAGGTAATTATTTCTTTTGTGCGGGGTCGATATGCCATGTGGAGGAGGGTGGATCCCATTGGCAACTTTTATTTTTCCCATACCACTATGTTTGTTTCCTATAAAACCAAGTATGTTTTATGCATTTAAATCGACTCTCTCTGCATGGGATCCCATACCACTATGTTTGTTTCCTATAAAACCAAGTATGTTTTATGCATGTAAATCCGACTCTCTCTCGCATGGGATTGTTGCTCCCGTAATCAAAGAATGCTAATTTTTAATTCTTTGCAATACTCATTTGTTTTCTCTGGACATTATTTGTATTAGTAGAGTCGTTCGCGGTAAGCTTGTGAAAGATGTTTATTTCTCGAATGTGAAGCTATTTCCCTTTCGTAGTAGAGGAAGAGGAAGCTTGGTTTGGCTTATTTGATGACCTCGTAGACTAACTTATTCCTTTTCCTTTTGCACTCCAAGCACCAGTGCTCACCCTATCTAGTACACCTAGTATTTCCTTATGTGGAGAATGGATACGCAAAGGAGGTCGAAGGTTGTCCTTTGTGACAGGATGTCATTCTTGTTCCAAGTTTGGTTTGTAAGCTTGAATTGCCTTACCAAGTAGGTACTAATTATTGTTTTATAAGGTTTTTAGTCCGAAGGAGTTTACGATAATTGCTTCTAAGATACCCCTATAATTTGCAATGAGAACGTAATGATATATTCGATTCCACTAAAATAGTTTGCTAGAAACCTTTAGCTTTATATGAGCCAACTAAGATTTATATTTTGTGAGGGATATGGGTAGACAAATCTATTGCAACACACATCCTTACATACATTGGGTGAGATCCATGTCTTGTACGATCATCCGAATGAAGAAGTTGTCTAAAAGGATGAACAATCTCTTATAGGAAGGCACATGGAAAAAATAAGCGAGACATGATAATCTAATCCAAACTATTACCATTGATGACTCGCATTTTTTTATCGAAGGTAGGATCCCATTTGAAAATCCAAAACGGATAATTTCCATAGACTCGCGATTCCTACGATCGGACCTTAATGAAATTTTCTCTATAAAATAACCGTATCGGGATATGATAAAGATCAATGAGGCTAACAATCGAGGTTTCAGCTAGCTTCAATATTGTCGCTTATAGTCATGAATGTAATTAATCGAGGGGCGCCCCTTAGAAAATTTGGCCACTAAGGAGACCAAGGAGAACTTAAAAACTTTATTAGACTCGTTGTAGATCTTTATCAAAAAATTTCACCGATGGTTCTCCTTCGTAAAATAATAGGTGTTTTGGATTAATAGAAAACGATGGAAGATAATCCCGGTTGTTAACTTGGTGGGTGGTGATGGCAGAGTAGGTTACTTTAGTGTGCACCGATCATGGAATCCTTGGCTCTAAAGGTATACTTTAGATTGTGGGCTTCCCACTCGTGTGTGTTTCGAGGCAAGCAACCTCTACATAACTAGTAGTAGGTGTATGGGTAATCTGTAGAGTAGGTTTAGTGGTTTGTGTTGTATTCTAATAGGTTGTCTAGTCTAGTCGGTTATATATTAGGGGGTTTAGATGTGTTAGGGGGAAGGATCGGGAAGGGTGTTAGGTGTCTCCCCATGAGGGATCACCGGGGTAAATAATTTACTAGAGGCTAGGAGAGAGCATGGTCGCGGTAGGGTTTTTTCGAATCCATTACCAAATTGAAAATTTTTGAATCATCACTTATCGTAACCATTCAAGCAACCTTCGCAGGAACGACATTCAAAATGCTACGGGGTTTGGTTATCTATAAATTTGTAGTAAAAAGATGAATTTAAGAGAAGATTAATTAGGAGTAGTTGATGTTCGAGAGGTGTATGGGCTTTTGCTATAAATGACGATAATAGTAACAAGGTGATCATAAATTTACTTTTTCAAGTAGGTTGCTCATATAATAAGACAATTATATATATATATATATATATTTTATGCGAGTCATCTAGATGATAAGATCATTGCATTTTACCTTTTTTGGACGAGTCGCTTATGTAACAAAACCATCGTATTTTACTTTTTTAGATAGGCCACCAAGATAATAAGACTATGTAATTTACTTTTTCGGACGAGTCATCCGGATAGAAAAAAGCTATAACATTTTACTTTTTAGAACATATCGTCCGGATAACAAGGTCATTGCATTTAACGAAATCATTGTCATCATATAACACCATTAATTAACCAATCCCCCCATTAGGTTAAGCTTGTCAAACAAATGAGAGATGAGGGATAAGAGGGTTCAATGCTGGGAAGTGGGTCTAAGTTTGTTTGGAGAGGAAAGATTGAGAACCGAATGACTCGTGGATGTTGAATAGAAGAGGAAGAAAACGAAGGGTTAAAGGGTCTCGATGCCTTAATCGTTTGGGCATGGATTTTGGAAAGAATAGATAACCTAAGGTTTCGATTTGAGAGAGATGAGAGGAAAATCAACTTGTTTTGTTTTTCTTTTCTAGGTGATAGGCTGAAGGATCGAAGATGAGGAATTTTTACGGTTCTCGAGTGATACGAAAGAGAAGGCTTGGATTTCAACTAGAGAGGAAGATGATGAAGGGATTTGATTTTGTCTCGGCAAAAGTGAAATGTTAGAAGTGTTCCGTGTGGTTGAAAGAATGGGCTTCGGCCTAATCCACGTGGGATTGGCTCAGCTTCAACCTAGCCTACCCTAAGTATTTGAGAGCTACAAAATTCCTACTTCTTTAGTTACTTCTGCCCTAGTGGTTTTATAAGGTGATGACTGGTGAGTAAATAAAGTAGTGATTAAAAAAAAAAAAAAAAAGAGGTCCATGGGTGAAAGATTTCGCCTAAATTATGCAATTATCTATATTTTCACTCTCAAGTTCCTGTCTATATCCCATTTTCTTGCTAAAAAAAGCTGTGAATACAGGAGTTTGAGACATGGATAGAATAGCCCCTACCCTGTTTAGTTCTTCTATCGTATTTTAATGATAAGCTTTTGCATCATTGTTTTATCAAATTTCCAACGTTCTATACTTATTCCGAGGTTCATTAATTTCCCAGTTTCTGAATTTAAATTTTGCATATACTTCACTTTAGTTCATATAGATTCATTAATGTTTCACTTTTATCCCTCTAGTTTACAACTTTCAAATGTTATCCTTCTATTTTCTAAAAGGTTTCAATTTATCCCTAATATTAAATAACCTACCAACCTTTTGAAGTTAGTTTGAGGTTCTTAGGTTGAATTTACGGGGATTTGAGAGGAAAATACGAAACATATATTTTATCCTTAAGTTTTCCTATATGCTTCTAATACATCCACTGCATTTACGTTGGAATTCAATAAATGTACGAACAAATGACATCCATATCTTGCAGTTGATTACTTATAATTTGTCATGGAAAATCCTCACTTTATGGCCTAAAATCCTTTGAATTAAGAGTTATTGAAAGTTAATGGATTGTCATTAGCCAAAGATACTGCTGCAATGAGTTATTGAAAGTCCCACATTCAGACGACCTCTTCACCTTATCTTAAAGAAAAAGGAAACAGAAGAGGATTGGGTGGTGGGTGTGACTTTGTTCATAGACACCGATTCACCTTGTTCTCTCCCGCCAAAGCTCTCTGCTGCTATCTTGGGCTTAATATCTAGAGCTGAAGAATCAAAATTGAAGGAGAGGGAAGTAGCATTCTATTCCTCAAATTTCATTTTCCAATGTTTGAATCCATATGCAGCATGTTGGGGTATTCTGTAAGAGCCTCAACAATTCATAAACAAGTCTATTTTCTTGAAAACCCTTCACTATTACCATCTTTCAAACCCATCTCATCAAGCAATGGAAATGCAAATCAACACCCATTTACTGTATCTTACCTCTTTAAAACTTGTGGGTTGTTTCTAAAATCTGCATTAGAAGCTTCTAAACGTGTCCATTTGGAAACCCTACATGAACCTGACTCTGTACTTAGTTTCTTCAAGGACCATGGTTTCTCAGAGAACCAAACTTTAAAACTTTCCAAAAAATGCCCTGAACTGCTTTTGTACAATCCTGGCAAAACCCTTTTGCCCAAACTTGAGTTTTTGTATTCTAAAGGAGTTTCAACCCCTGATGTTGCCAAAATCATATCCTTCTACCCTTGGATTTTGAGATGCAGCTTAGAAAACCAGTTAGTCCCTACTTTTGATTTTTTGAAGAACTGGTTCCCGAATGACACCATTTTTCGATTATTCAAAAGTACTCCACTGGTTCTTCAACTTAATCCTGTAACTGTGAAATATATTCTCAAAATTTTGGGAGATAATGGAGTGCCTGACAAGAATATTGTTATGTTAGCTCGTAGCCACCCTAAAACAATGCTGTTGAGCCCAAAGAAATTTAACAAGGTGTTGGGGGAGGTGAGGAAAATGGGATTAGATCCTTGCAAAACTCAATTTGTCGTAGCGATCCTAGCATTGACATCCATGAGCAGATTCACATGGGAAAAGAAACTTGATGTGTATAGGAGATGGGGTTTGTCTCAAAAAGAGATTCTTGCAGCATTTGGAAAGTCTCCATGGTTTATGACCCTATCTGAAGAGAAGGTTATGGCAGTGATGGATCTTTTTGTCAACAAATTGGGTTGGGAATCTTCCTTTATTGCCAAAAACCCAACTCTTGTATCATATAGCTTGGAAAAGAGGCTCACTCCAAGGGCTATGGTTTTGCAATTTCTAGTAGCTCGAGGTTTGATTGAGAAGAGTTTCAGAAGCACCACATTCTTCATTGCATCTGAAAATAAGTTCCTGCAGCAGTTCATTAATCAGCGTGCTGAATCTACTCAGATATTGAAACTGTACTGGGAGAAACTGAATCTTTCAAGATAAAAGGTCATAGACGAAAAGGGTACAGTGGTTTTCTAGCAGTTCTAAGCTTTTTCACGTTTTAATCACAATCACCTCACATTTCCTTTGAGTGTTTCAACTGATCTAATTGTGTCCTTTGTTTCAATATTACTTTAGCTTTGACTGTACCATTTAATTTTGATGGAAAGGATAGATTGAGATCTTGCAGTTCTAAACTCTTATTATTTCTCTTGATTTAGTTCCAGTAGTACAAGTACTGTAAATGAGTTATTGAATTTGAATTTGAATTCTTTGTTTTCATCCAGATAAAAACTTATGCTCAGCAATAATGCATATTGCCATCCATCATGATTGACTAACCAATCTCTTTCCTGTCTTGTGTGACTCCATTATTATTTTTATGTGGTCACTTTTGTGAATCTAGTTGACAAATCCACACATATGCTGATACGGTCTCTAGACTTGTGTGGAATATTAGGTTTTCTCCATCTTTTTCATTTAGAATTTAGAGAAACAGAGGGGGTATCTTCAGTTTTCTCCAAGACACTGTTTGAGGTGATTGAAATTGCTGTGAGATTTCAAATATAATGGTGCAACCAGCTTTATTAGGATCCTTGCTCTCTTATGCTTTTGGGAAACTTATTGTAATGGTGGAACTCTGTTGTACTTAGTTCTTACAGAGAAATTGTGGATGGAACCCGTGCAGACAGAAACTTTTTTTCCTATACATTTTTCGGTGGTGGGTGAGTAATGGAATTGGGAAACCATTCGCAAAGATAAAGCAGACATTCTCTGGGGTTGTTTCTTGATATAACTTGGGAAAATGATGTACGATTGTTTTAATTTAGTTAATTTTGTATTTGGGAACTGAGTTACTAAAATCTTTTGCTGCCATTGAGTAATTACCGAGTTTGGCTTCATTTTCCCTGGATATTTATCTTATTATTTGTGTAGATGAAACTCAGATGTTATTCAGGCTTGATTGTTACAGGCTCCGTACCCTCCTTTGGCACCTCTAGTCGAGACTGATTCAAATAATAAAAAGGTGAGGTTTGCGATTCAACCACATGTGCAGGAGTGATGCAACATGATTGCTTTGGCTGAGCAACGGGGAACAATGACTTCATGCTGCAAAGCCAAATTTCCTCTGTAAGTATATGTGGCAACTTGGTTTGATGTTGAAAGTTGATAGAAAATTGAATAAAAGAGCTTGTGCCTGGTAGATCCAATACACCAACAAGTTTGATGGATTTTTTGTCAATAAATTGGGTTGGGAGCCTTTTGTATGTTGCCAAAAACCCATCTCTTGTAACTAATAGCTTGGAAAAAAGGCTCATTTAATTCCCAGGGCTTCAGTTTTGCAATTTTAGTTTCTCAAGGTTTAGTTGACGGAGTTTCAGAAGCTCTACATGCTTCATTGCAACTGAAAATAGTTACTGTGACTGTCTGTTAATCACCATGCTGAATCTAATCAGACATTGAACTTGTACCAGGAGAAGCTGAATCTTTTAAGATAAAAGATGGTTGATGAAAAGGTTACTGTAGTTGTAACTGTTATGAGCTCATTAACATGTTGAATCACAATCACAATCACTTTTCATTTTCTTTGGTTGTTTTCCTTGAGCTGATTATATCCTTAGCTTTAAGATGCTTTAGCTTTTAGTGTACCATTTTAAATTGATGAGAATGATAGATTGAGATCTACTACTTCTAAACCCTTTTTTTCATTTTGAATCCCGTTTCCTTAAATTTTTCTTATTTTTTTTCTTTCTTTCTTTATTTTTTTGATAGTGCTTTAGTTTCACAAGCACAAGTACCCAAATGATTAAATTTTTCACGGAATTTCAATTCTCTGTTTTCAGTCTGGTAGAAAGTTACACTCAACTGCTGCACTTAGGACTGTTGACCATGGTTGAATAGCCAATTTTTTTTTTTTTTTTTGTTGTCTTGTGTGAAATCTGTGATTGTTTTTATGTGGTTCCCTCTGTTAATGCTTGTTGATTAATCCACTTATCGAATTATAGACTGTTAGATTTGCTTAATCTCTCATTTAGTGTTTAGATAAACAAAGTTGGGTGACATTTGGTTTTTGGTTCTACTCCAACGTGCTGAGCTTCATGCGATGGTAATTGTTGTGAGATACCAAATATAACGGTGCAAGCAGGGTTATTAAACTCTCTTGCTTTCTCGTGCTCGTGCATAGCTTCTTGTACGGTAAAAACCTGTTGTGCTTGTTAACATGCATGGAAATAGTATGGACCTTGTGGAGACAGAAACAAGTACCATATATTTGGTGGTGGTGGGTGGATAATGGAGTTGGGAAAACATTTGCAAGATAAAACATATATTCGCTAGGATTGATTCCTAATAACCTACTGTTAAAGTGATGCACAATCGTCTCAATTTGGTTCTTGTACACTACTATCAAACACTGCTTCGTCTCTTCTAAGACATGTACCAAACGCTGCCCAATCTATACATCATATTATCTGTTGGGCTGAAGCTAGTTAATGGCAACAAAGGAACCGCTTTTTTGTCGATTTAATAACATAATTTGCCTTCAAACTATTGAAGTCGTAGTAAAATAAAGTTTATATTATCAGTTTGATTTCAAACTATTAATTTTTTAATAAATTTTATCTTTCTTCATTATGTCTGACCATTAAAGGTGTTGATTGAAATGCTTAAATCAAAGTTTTAATTTTTTTCAGTTTTTTTTTTTCCTCCATTGCATATCATTAATTATTCAAGAACAAAATCATTAACGATCAACTCTTTTATTTCAAATCACTATGGCTTCTCATTTCCCTTCTTGTCGTGCTTCATTGAATTTAACTTTCTTTTTTAAGATTGCTCAGTTTCTCATTCTTGAATAATTAATTGTTATTGGAACTTCTGTTGGGTATTTGGTTAAGATTAAAGCTTGCTAGCACTCGAACAGCAACTTTTTGCAACCATCTACCAAGGTTTACCCTTCTGTTCATGTATCAGCTCTGCTTGTTTTCATTGATTAACTCACACATAAACATGGCATGGTACGTAGACTTGTGGGATGGTCTCTTTATCTCTTATGTATAGTGACGAAATGTGATGGATCTTGTGTTGTGGTTCTGGCGTGCTGCTGCTGCTTGTCAGCTTGATTAAGCTGAAATTGCTGAGATTTCAACACTTGAACCATATGGCTTGGGGAGGAAGCTATTCTGAGAGCTTCAATTTTGCAATTTCTAGTTTCTGAAGGGAGTTCCTGCAGCAGTTAATAGATCGGCTTTCTCAAGATAAAAGTGATTGCTGAAAAAGGTGCAGTAGTTATAGCAGTCAATAATGGATACAGAAAAGACAAAATAAATACGTTAAAATATACATTTTTAATCTTTTTGTTTCTTACGATAATTTTTTTCTTCAAGATATAAATAAAGTATTAATATTTTAATATTTTTATTCATGTTTCTTGCTATAATCTTTTTCAAAATATAAATAGTATTAAAAATAACAAAAACTAGCTCAGATATAGCAAAACTGCAGACCGATTGAGTAATTCCTAATAAGAATGAAAGTGTTTGTAGCCTAAACACCCATCTGATTGCTCCTGGAATTGGAGGAAAATTCTTAAAGACAGAGAGGTTGTGTGGAGGCAAATAGAGCATGTGATTGGAAATGGGAAGAAGACACACGTGGTGGAATTGCTGGCATCCTTTCGGGCCATTGGAGAGGGAATAAGAGTCGAAAATTATCCATAATTCTGGACTTCCTACCGATGCAAGAGTGGTTAATGTTATCAATGGAAACGCCTACTGCCAGGTCTGACGGTATGCTTGATATTTTAAGTGCCGTTTGGGGGATTATTCTTCCTCATTCCTTGATGATTCTATTATATGGAAGGCTAGTCCAGATGGGCAAATACTCAAGTTCGAAGTGCTTGGGAGCTCTCAAGGCTTAAGGGTAGTGAAGTAAATTGGCACAATTTGGTCTGGGGATGGCTTCATATGCCTACCTAGGCACAGCTTGATCTCAATTCTCACGGCTAGCAGTGCTAGATAGACCATCTACGAAGAGCAAACAATTCCAATGGAGATTGATTAATACAATTTGTGTTTAGTGTAGCAGTAGTTAAGAAACCAGAGATCATTTGTATTTTGAGTGTGCATACTCTAGAGCAGTATGGTCTATACTGCTACGAAAATCTGGTATCTGCATTATTTTCTTGGCAAAGTTTAATTGATCTGCACAAGAAATGTTTCCCTTGTGTTATTTTGAGGGTTCCATTTATAGCCATTGTCATTTGATGGCCAATTGATGTACTGAGGGCTCGGCCTGTTCGTAAAATTTGTGTATCGGGCTTTGCCCTTTTTAGTTAGTTTTCGATTAATGGAAAACTTCATTCATTAAATAATAATAAATAAATAAATAAAATAAAATTAATAATAATAATCCTCGAAGGGAATAAATTATAAATTAATCTCTTTAGTTTTAAGAAATAAATTAATTAGTTATTTTCATTTCAAAAACTATTATTTAGTTTTTTTTTAATAGTATTAACTATGTTTAATTTAATATTATTTTTATTTCAAAAAATGTCTTTTCACACACACACACACACATATATATATATATCTTAAAACTAAAAATTAAAATAAATTGAAAAAGAGAGAAAAAAATTATCAGTAGATTTTGAAACATAAAGACTAAAATGAAAGAGACTAATTTAATTTCTTTCTCGAAACCAATTTATAAATTTCTCAATAAGAAGGTTGTAAAGTCGTATATATATATATTATTATTTTTTGATATGGCATCCAAATAAACTATATTACTTGGATTTAATACATGAATAAATTATGATAAAAAAAATTAGTTATTTTTATTAGTGAAAATAATTTATATATCTCAAAATGCATTTTCAAAGTATTTCCAATTATTTGGAATGATATCTATTTTTTTATATTAAATTTGGATTTTTTAATAATTAATTTTGGATGTGTTTGAAAGTATGTAATTAGTATTGACAAGTATCAATCAAGTATTATATCCAAAAGTTTATTTAGACAATGCCGATTACAATAAAAAAAGGCAACTAACATAGAAAATTAGCAATGAAAGTTTATCGGTCACTAAATAGAAAGTAAATAGAGACAAAATAGCATCCGGTAGAAATAATGACGGAATAACGATGGTTTGTTAGCAATAGACACTAATCCATTGCTAAATTTGATGATAAAATAATTTCGGGAGTTTTAGAGACGATTTAGCAAGAGATTTATTAGGAAAAAATAGGGGTAGAATAGCAAATCCATCTCTAATTTCAATGTGTCGATTTAGTGACGAAATATTCATCGCTACAGGACAAATCCCTCACAATTTAACGATGAAAAAATCCGTCACTAAAGGTGAAAATTAGACAAAATTGGGTGGAATTTTTTAAAGTTAAAAGTGCCAAATTTGCGACACAATAACCCCATGAAAAATTACTTCCATTGCTATATGTGAAAAAAAATGGATGGCCGGTTGTAGAAAATTGGTCGCTCATTTTGAGAAGGATTAGCAACAAACACTTATGTCTATCGCTAAATAGTGACGGATCTATAAGGGGATTGCATTCATCATTATTTTTTAATCTCTAATTAAGCCTCCTCCCTCCTCTCTCATTTTCTTCTCTCTCTCTCCTTCTCCACCTAGCAGTCGCCAAACTCCCCTCCATCCAAACCACCACAAACACACCACTCATCCACTCTCAATAATCCTCACCTACTCTAAAGTCATTTCTTGAAAAAAAAACCCTTATTTTTCATTTCCTCCTCTTGGTGTAATTCCATCCGAATTAAGTAAGTTTTTTTTTCTCTTTTTTTTTTCTTAATTAAAGTTAGTCATTTGTTGTAATTGTTAGGTTAAATTTAAGTTTAATTACTTAATTTATAATTGTGTATATTTATAACTGTTATTTTATTGATTTATTTGTTAAATTGTTAATTTTTATTAGTTGTTAGGTCGATTTTGATTAATTTGTTAAATTATTAAATTTTTTTAATTGTTAGATTAATTTGTTAATTATTTATAATATAAATTTGATCAAAATTAATTTTTAATTAATTAAGTTAACTTTTTTATGTTTAGTTAATTATATTTAATTGGTTGAATTGGAATAAATGTTTTAATTAATTGTTTAATTTTTCTTAATTAAGTTACTTTAATTGTTATTTTAAATTTAATTTGGTTAGAATTAGAATTACTTAAGTTAATTTGATTTATAATTAATTAATTAATTAGGTTAATTTTGTTTAATTAGTTAAATTATAATTTTATTTATCTTAGAAATTGTTAATTAATTTTTATTTTAAATTTAATTTGGTTAGAATTAGAATTAATTAAGTTAATTTGATTTATAATTAATTAATTAATTAGCTTAATCATGTTTAATTGGTTGAATTAAAAATTTATTTATATAAAAACTTGTTAATTTATTGTTATTTTAAATTTAATTTGGTTGGAATTAGAATTAATTTAATTTGATTTGATTTTTATTTAATTAATCAATTAGGTTAGTTATTTGTAATTGGTAGAATTAAAACTTTCTTTATATTGAAACTTATTATTTTTTTTTATATTATATATATATATATATATATATATATATTAAATTTTCTTAATTTATTGTTATTTTAAAGTTAACTAGGTTAAAATTAGAATTAATTAGTTTAATTATTTCGTATATAATTATTAAAATGTGTCGAGATATGTCGTAATTTATCAAACTTAAGGGGTTAGAGACCTCGGGAATTGAGAAGAAATAAGATTGGTTTAATACTCGCGATAGAGTTAGGAGGACGAGTTTAAAATTTAATTTTAATAGAGTATCCGAGACAATTGTCGATCTCGGTGTGTGCAAATTGATTGTTGGTTGATTTAATATGTTGTTTGTGTGATCATTTAAAGTATTTTTTAATTAAGAAATGTGCAATTTACAAAGGAGGCTCTATCAAAATTTTATTAGATATTTAGGAAAAATATTAATTAAATAAATTTGTCTATTATGCATTCTTTTGATGTTTTTTTTTTTCACCATTTTGGACGTGTTGAATTTTGTGTCAATGGCGTTTTCAATACTAAGAAAATATCAAATTTATAAATTTTTGTTTGTTTTACTTCATAATAATTTATAATATATTTTAAGTTGAATTATTCATTTGTTAAACTCGTTTTAAGTGTTATTATTGAGTTATGCCTCGTGGATTAAGTAGATCTAGTTGCGGTGTTAATGGGCATGGCTCTAATATTGACCGTGCGATCGATAATGGTGGTGTACATGGATGAGCCACTACCAGGTGCAACCGTCCATAGCTACAAACTTGATAATGGTACGGCACGTCTATATCCCCTCTAGTAGTGCCCTTGTCGGTTATGCCTCCGCCAATGGTATCCCCTATCGTGGATGATCCCATTACGGTTTTCTCAACTCAAATAAGCTCTACCGGATTTGATGATGGACGAACCATTTGGTCATGAATAACTTGTAACTAATATATTTTACATGCGATAATATATTATATTGGAATCATTAATTCACTAATTTATTTATTTTTTTGTTTTGTTCGACGAGTTTAGTTCCATCAAGCGAGTGCTTCGTAAAAATCACCATAATTTTTGAGTGGTTGAACATTGCTAGCTCCATATGGAAGTTTATCTTCATGGAGATGAAAGACTTCTACTTTAATGAGTTTAAAGTAACATATTAATTATTTGCTTATATTTCATTTAAAGTGTTAATTTAACATGAAAAATATTATTATTTTTTTCTTTATGTAGAAGTATTTTTTATGGAATGCGATCATCAATGCACTAAAAAATATTATTATTATCTTCATGGAGACGAAAGACTTCTACTTTAATGAGTTTAAAGTAATATATTAATTATTTGGTGGTATTTCATTTAAAATGTTAATTTAACATAAAAAAATATTATTTTTTCTTCATGTAGAAGTATTTTTTATGAAATGTGGTCGTCAATGCACTAATTAAGGATGTGTGGGAGAGTCTAGCATGAAGATAGTACAACGAAGATGCTTAACAAGTTGAAGCATAAGAGTAACAAACTTCGTTTGTTAAATAGGAGGTGTGGGAAGTATGGCATTGGGATTAGGCCTCTCTTAAGTATTAGGCCGGATCTCGAGCAAGCATCTCGAAACCTCATGTTGGAGACAAGTGGTGTTGGTGCCTGGCTCATCCAAATATACTAGAGGGTCCATCTCTTTGATTAAGCAAATTGAGCATTTGATAAATCCTATATTATCTATTGTGTTATAAATTACTTTTTTCATTTATTCAATCTCATATTATTTTATTTATTTTTTTAGCATCACAAATTGGGTCAAACTCAAATCCATTCGAGTCGTTCCTAACCACTCACAAGCGGAAGGATGAAACATTCATTGACGAGCGATCACATAGATAGTAATGGTAAGGTTTTATATTTTTCAAAAAAAATATATACATCTACCGATATAATCTATAAAATATATTTATGATTTAATATTTTAATTAATTTTATGACATAGGAGCATGTGCAATTAATGCAAGAAGCAACTGCTAAGGAGTGACATGAGGGTGATTCATCGTCTTCGGATATCGACATGTCTAAGATTTATTTGGATGCTTTCGGAGGAAAGAAGAAGTTGAGAGTGTACGACATCAAAACTCATGTGTCCCAATATTACTCACATTCTGCGTCGGCTCCTCCTCTACCACTTTACGATATCCCGATAGCAATATTTAGAAGGTTTTTGCCTAGTACGAAAAATAGGATCAAAGAGATGAAGGCTATCATCTAGCAATAGGCCGATCAAGTTAGCAACTTATAGACTCGGTTGCAAAGAGTTATGAAGTTGTTACGGAACCTATAGCAGACTAACGTCTCTCTTGCTAACCCTTCCATAACCTAGAAGATAGTTATTTCTCTCAACACTTAGCAACCAGAAGATGATATAGGAAATGATGCTAATGAGGAATATATTTCTTGATTTGTTTTAAAAGTTTTTAAAATTTTTATACACTTTAATGCATTTATATATTTATTTTATTTTAATTTTATTAAATAATACATCATATTTTAATAAGTGTTGCATATAGTTGTTTGTTATTACAATTAAAAATATATGGCTATTGATTTTTTTTTAAATAGAAAATTCATTCATTTAGCGACGGATTTAATAATGGAATTTCAAGGACATTTAGCCATGGATACACATACGGTCGCTATCGAAGGATCATGCATCCTATGAAAGTGTGGAATAAAATAAAAATTTCCTCCATCTAAAGGGTCCAAGATCTTACCGTTGAATTAATTAACCATACA